AGCCTCAGTACGGAGGGGGGGGTGCTGATGGTGACGATCGGCCCCTCAGTACGGTGCTGATGGTGACGATCGGCCTCAGTACGGGGGGGCCGCGTTGCTGTTTTGCCTAGGGCAGCAGCATTTGTAAATACACCACTGTAGAGGGCCAGTATGTTAGAATGCACAAACAAGTATTGATCGGCCCCACTATGACACTGTAATAAAACCCATCATTGATAGAATAAGAACATTTATTAGCAATAAAAGCACATCAGTTCAGATAGAAAAGGGGGTATTGCACAATGAGATCTAGTAGATCATCACTAGCTTTTTAAAAAAAATCACGCAAGGCACAGCAAATCCATTCCTATATATTCACAATTCAGCCAGCATGATGAACTTTACTGCTTCGAAAACAGGCGCGCAGATTCTGTGTTTAGCTGAATAAAATGCCGCATTGCATCCAGGAATCAAAATCACTCCTGACAGAAAATGATCAGCCGTGCACAAAACGCAGCAAATGAGTTCCTCTGTAGATTTCATTGCTCCAAAATACAGACAATGCAGCCTCTGTTCTTGGCTTAATGAAAGGCAGTAGGCATACAGGAGTCAAAGTTGCTGCTGCTGAAAACAATCCATTGTATCTAATGCCCCTAAACATATGTTAAAGTGATACTAAACTCAGGAGTTCAATCTTAAAAACACATTCAAGTACCTTTTTTAACCCTTAACATAAATGTATCTTATTCGTGTATCACTCGGCTGTAGAGCCTTAACTCATCTCTGAATTGGTGCTGACACCGTCCTTCCTTCTGGAGGGGGGCTACTTTTGTTCCAATGGTTCCTGTGTGTGTGTTGTAAAGTAGTCACCGCTCCAAGCTCACTCCCGTGATGGACTACAATCTCATGTTTAGTTTACTCATTTGTATTGAGATTGTAGTCCGTCACAGGAGAGAGCAAAAGTGGGGAACAAAAGTAGCCCCCCTCCAGAAGGATGGACAGTGTCGGCACCAATTCAGAGATGATTTGAGGATCTACAGCCCAGTGTTTCACAAATGAGATGCATTTTTGTACTTGAACTCCTGAGTTTAGTGTCACTTTAAAATTTTTCGACCCAGCTGGCTCTTTGACAAGTCTAGACATGACATGGATCCGTCCAGGTCGAAACATGCGGTCGTTGGGTAAAGGGAAAAAAAAAAAAACAATGTTGGGTGGCTCAAGATGGGGTTTGGGCTAGTCACAAAGGGGCTTGAGGAGGACTTCCCATGTACAGTTCATCAAAGCGAGGTGAAGACTACACACTCAGTCACATGTTGTATTTGTTTTGTTTTACTAAGGATGCACCGATATCAGTGCCGATACCGAGTATTTGGGCAAGTACTCGTACTCGCCCAAATGCTCCGATGTCTAGTCCGATACTTCCTGATTGGCCGGGAAGCTTGTGACGAGGGAGCATGAAGCCGGCTTCCCAGCCAATCAGAAAGCTGGGCGCCGCGTCATTACTTGTAATGACGCGGCGCCCGGCTTTCTGATTGGCCGTGAAGCAGGCTTCATGCTTCCTCGTCATCTCATGACGTGGGAGCATGGAGCCGGCTTCCCGGCCAATCGGGAAGCAGACAGCGCGTCATTACAAGGCGCCCGGCTTTCATGATTGGCCAGCAAGCCAACTCCATGTGACGAGAAGCATGGGGCAGCCTCCTTGTTAATCGGGAAGCTGGGTGGCGAGTCTTTACACGCTGCCCGGCTTCCCGGCTAATCGGGAAGCCAGGTGGCAAATCATTATACGCCGCCTGGCTTCCTGTATGGGACTTCCGGTACTTTGGTATTTGGTATCGGCGAGTACCGGAAAAAAAATATATCGGTACTTGGTACCAAAATACCGGTATCGGTGCATCCCTAGTATTTATAGACCTTTTTTCAGTTTTCACAAAATGACAGGTTTGTTCACAACATTTGCTCTTGGCATAGTGAGGAGGAATGGGCCATTGTTCTTGTCCCTAGCTAGTAAAATTCTTATTACACTGACCACTTGTATGAAAAGCCTATAGTTCCTAATAATAAAACCGTACATTGTGAGGGGAGTTATATTGAATTGTTTTACTAAAGAACGTTCATTGATGTTCATTTCTGTTTTTTTTTCTTTCCTGTTGCTGTTCAATGGATGTTTTGGTGAGTTTCTGTTTATGTCCTAGGGAACGGGAACTTGGTGCTCGGGGGAGCTGTAGTGAGCTAGACTGAAACTTCTTATCTGCTAAATCTTGGATATATACGTGCATTCATAGCATATCTACAACCAAGCAAAATAATCATGCTGGAATGAGCTCTGTCACCATCTAGTGTTTCCCAAGGAAAGGCGTACATGTATAAGAAGAGTGTAAATGCCATCCATGCTTCATTCCTGTGCAATAGCCACATAAAGTCCACTGCAAAGCTGACCCTTCTGAAAGTGTGGATGTCCTGGTTGCCCCACAGATGTATTTGGTTCCTTTTTCTGACCTTCTCTTCATTACTGCACATACCAGTTTGACACTCACAGAAATGGAGGTTTCCTGGCAGACTTTGGGGAGAAGTTACAAAAGTTATACATCCATACATACAAAGTAATAGTTGTTGGAAAGGGATAAAACATATGTAATTACAGAACCAAAGTACTCTTCAGTCGCAGGTGCTAGAACAAATATAGAGCATACACCGAGTCAGCAACTAGAGCAAAATGCCGGTGTGGGTTTCCTGCGGTAACGCTGGTTTCCTCCCAAAGACATGTTGGCATGTTATATACTTTGTCTAAATCGGCCGTGTGTGCATCCATGTGAGATGGAGACCTTAGATTGTAAGCTCCTTGAGGATAGGGAGTGATGTGAATGTGCAATATGTAAACGCTGTGTAAATTGTCGCTTCTATATAAAAACTTTTTATATATAATAATAAATCTTCCTGTTGGGACACAGATGGTGAAAATAACCTGATGAGGGTTTTACTGATTACCAGCTATATTCAAAATGAAAAAATAATTTGGCTTTAGACATCCTATGAGTGCAATATTGGGTAGAATACAAAGCACATTATTTGTTTACTGATTGGGAAGGGGCAACTATGCTATTCATAATGAAACAGTTACTGTTTTCTGTATTGGTTTGCTATTTTTAGAGCCTGGTTAGGTTTGGAGCGCAGCTGCCCCCTTGAAGACATGTTTATATTTGCAGGAATGTTTGGAATAGTAAATCGAAATGTAATGAATCTCTGCCGCGAGATTGATTTTTACTAAAGGAGTTGAGAATGTCCAAAAAAAAATGAATGAAGATTGGCTTTAACCACCTTGAAGTCCGCGGTGTTACACCCCCTTCCTGGCCAGGCCATTTTTCAGTATTCAGCGCTGCAGTTCTTTGACTGACATTTATTCCGTCATGCAACGCTGTACTGAAATGAATTTTATACCATTTTTTTAGGGACAGACAGAGCTTTCTTTTGGTGGTATTTAATCACCACTACGGTTTTTATTTTTTTATATATTAAGGAAAAATTACCGAAATTAAAAAAAAAACTTTCCCCTATATTAAATGATAAATCATTTTTTACCTAATTTTTTGGTAAAATATAAAAGACGGGGTCACGTCGGGTAAAAAGACACCAAACATGTCAAGCCTTAAAATTGCGTGCGCGCGCGCAACCTCAAAAAACGTTAATACTCTAAATTGGCCGTAGGCGACGCTTTAAAAGCTTTTACCGCTCATCAGTTTAGTGTTATCAGTGATTAATGGCCCTAAAATGATTGCGCTCACTGTGACGTTCATGGCGATATATAACGTGTGTAGCGCAATTGTCATTTTCGCGCTGGTGCACCGGACGCATATTTACATGTGCGTAAACGTGGGGGACTTAACATTTTGGATGTATATATATATATATATATACATATATATATTTTTTTT